GTGTCCTACCCCCACACCTGTTAAACTCCACTGTGTGGCCCAGTAATCTGTGTTTTAAGGAGCCCTCCAGTGAGTGTGTTGCATGAACCGTTTTGTTTTAGCAGATTGGATCAGATCTTTCGGTAGGAGAGGTTGAGAATACTACCTGCTGGGAGAACTAACAATTCAAAGTGGCATGTTTCCATTTATCCAGGGAGCTCTGGCTCAAGAGTTGGCAGCCCCTTGAGCCCACTGTGACCCTGATGTGGGGTTGAGCGATAACCATACTGTCATCCAGACAGTAGGTTTTATCCAGAAAAAAGGAAGCGCCAGAAGGAGAAAGGAAAAAGAGGGAGTGTAGGAGAAACTAAAAGAAGGATGAGTAGGGAAAGGAAAAATGGGGCAGAGGAAAAGAGAATGCAAATAAGAAAAATAAAGATTCTATGGTGGCAAATAGATGACACCAATACTGCAGGGCCACTCGTTTATTTTTTTATTTTATTATGTATTGTTATCTTTGAGACAGGGTCTCACTCTGTCACCCAGGCTGGAGGGCAGTGATGACATCTTGGCTCACTACATCTGTCTCCCAGGTTCAAGCAATTCTTGAACCTCAGCCCCCTAAGTAGCTGTGTTTACAGGCATGTGCCACCACACCCAGCTAATTTTTGTATTTTTTTGGTAGAGACAGGGTTTCACCATGTTGGCCAGGCTGGTCTTGAACTCCTGACCTCAAGTGATCCTCCTGCCTCAGCCTCCTAACGTGCTGGGATTACAGGCATGAGCCACTGAGCCTGGCCCATTATTTAATAACTTTTTATTATTCTTCCATTCTAAACCTCTGCACCTTTAAGTTCATTTCCTCTACTCATTCCCACATTTTATTGACTATCATTCACCAAATCTGATAGGGTCATTTTTTACACCATTCAGTATGTTAACATTCAGGGAAATGTTTGCCAGTGAGGCCCTGCTCTTTAGTTAAAAAGTCATGCACTCTCAAAGCTGCTGAAAAGAGTCTAAATCTACCTATGATGGTAGGGGACAGTGTCGGAGGACTGTTGAGGAGGTATATTCAGGAGAACGAATAAGAGCACCCTAGAAACAGCAGTATCAACAATCACGTCAATCCAGGTGAAGCATAGATTGGAGGGGATCTCACAGATTTCCTCAAACACTAATCCCAGTCTCACGTATACATGTGCATCTACCAGTGAAAGCCAAGGAAAAACTCCTTCAATCTGAGGCAGGGCAATGGGAGACAGTACACAAAAAGGGATTTTTCTCACAGTGTTTTGTGGAGAAAACATTAAACAATTCTAAGTGTGGGAGCTCAGAGCAAACAAAGATTTGAGAATTTTTAGCCTATTTATTCTGATAAAATACTCAGCACGTGTCTACAACTTTCAGAACATCGTTGTGTCTCACGACAGTGCTGTCTCAATCAAGGAGCCAGCATTTGCTATTTGCCTGAGGGAAAGGTTGTGATGGGGCGAGAGTGGATTTCGCTTGGAAGGCTGCTCATATTTCACGGTGTTCCTTTATTTTTTTTAGTTTGATGACACCTTCAAGAGCTAAAGGGCAAACAATTTATTACACCAGATATTTGACAAATTGGGACAGCATTTTATTTTAATTAATAGAGACAAGGTAGCACTCATTTGCACAGGCTGGAGTGCAGTGGCGCCATCATAGAGTACTGCAGCCTCAACCTCCTGGGCTCTAGTGATCCTCTCGCCTCAGCCTCCCTGGTAGCTGGGAGTATAGGTGTGCACTATCATGCCTGGCTATCCTTATGTATAAATATAAATACGTGTGTGTGTGTGTGTATATTTTTTTTTTTGCTTCAGTGACAGCATCTTGCTCTGTCACCCAGGCCGGAGTGCAGTGGTACAAACATGGCTCACTGCAGCCTCCACCTCCTGGACTAGAACAGTCCTCCTGCCTCAGCCCCCAAGTAGCTGGGACTACAGGTGCACAGCACCACACCCAGTGAATTTTTTATTTTTTGTAGAGATGGGTTTTCACCATGTTGGCCAGGATGGTCTCAAACTCCTGAGCTCAGGCAATCTGCCTGCCTTGGCTACCCAAAGTGTTAAAACTACAGGCGTGAGCCACTGTGCCTGGCCAATTTTTAAAATACGAGCATTTACTCACAAGAATCCTTGAATTATAAAGTTGGCACCACCTTCACAGATCATCTGAGGCCCATCAATATTGCTTTGGGGAATTTTGAGAAAAACACCGTGCTCAGGCCTGACTCTGGGCAAACTGAATCTGAATCTCAAGGAATGTGACCAAGGGGGATTTCCACTTTTAAAGCTTCACAACTGATTCCAACATGCAGCCAGGATCAAGAAACACCTTTAGTTTCACTATTTCATTTTACTGATAAAGGTATAAGAGTTCAAACAGATGAAGTGACCTGCCTAAGGTCACACTACCAGTAAGTACTGCCTGACAACCAACTCCTCTGACTGCCAATGCAATGTTCTTTCCACTATGTTCTTTTTTGTTTCTTCTTATAGAAAGAACTTAGGGTTTTACTGAACATTCAAGTTATGCAATTTACAATTGAGAAAGAAGAGCTAGAGTTCAGTAGGTATTGGTGGGGCATCTTCAGAGGCCTCAACTCAATTGTGAGTTTTCTGAAGACTACTATGCCCAGGGCATTGCTCCTGCCGAGTGTTACTGATGGCAGTCAAATGATGTTTTGCTAAAGGCAATGATTAATACTGTATCCAGTGTTCATTAGTCTTGTGTTGGGCAAGTCACTTGCTCTTGAATTAGTTTCACCTATGGTAGAAAACATTCATTGACAAATGTTTTCACTTTCAAGAATTAATTACATTAAAGCAAACAATAGTGGGGGAGATCAGTGGTTCTTAATATTTAAGTTAGGGTGGGGGTTAGGGTGGGGAGTCATAGGTCCCATTGGAGAGCTAGTGAAAGCTACAAACTTCCCCACAAAAAGACACATAAATGTTGCATGTAATTTCTGAGGATTCACCAACACCTCCCCCAGTCTGTCTAAACTCATACATACACTCTAGATTAAATCTGAACTAGATGATTTTTGAAGCTCTCTTTTAGTGTTTCTCAAAGTGTGGCCCATGGACCACAGAATCAGAATCACTTGGGGTGTTTGTTAAAGAAAAAAAGAGATTCATGAGACTGCCACACACCTACTGTTTCAGAATCTCTGGGGAATGAGGTACAGGAATCTTTATGTTAAAAAAAAAAAACCCAAACCAGATGGTTCTTTTGGAAACTAACACTTGAGAATCAGTGCTTTATTCCTACTTGAGATTTTTAAATGCTTTCGTCTGTTGAATATTTTAGGTTTTGTCTGTTCATCTATCAAGTATAGCAAACAGTATGCTTAGTATGAACTCATTACAGAATATTTGTGCGTATGTACATAGGAAAAACATCTAGAAGTATAGATGTGGGTGTGTGTATATATATGTGTAAATATATATAACAATGTTAATAGTGGGAATATAGATGATCTCTATTTTTCCCCTTTATCCTTCTGTTTTTATTTCTCTCCCTTTTTTCCCTGTGTTTTAAAAAAGATGCTTCTTGTTTCTGAGCTTGATTTCCCCATCTGAGAACAGGGTGCTGTAAGTAGGTGAACTTCAAGATCATGTCCTGTTCCAATGGTTCGTGACTCTTATACTACCCTCTAGGCTCCCTTGTCCATCTCACAGCATGAACTGCATAGGTAACAACAGTGTTTGGAGAATAAGCATGTATTATTTTTGTATATATTACGTTTTGAGATGCCTAGCAACCGTTTTTGCACCAGCAAAATTTTCTCTTCTTTGTCAAGGAGCCAAAACGGAAATAGTCTACTATCTACAGCCCTCAAAAGTTCCTCCTCTCTCCTTAGCCTTACAAAATGCCATCTGCCATGGGCATGGGCAAAGACTTCATAACTAAAACACCAAAAGCAATTGCAACAAAAGTCAAAAATCGACAAACAGGATCTAATTAAAACAGCTTCCACACAGCAAAAGAAACCACCATCAGAGTGAACAGGCAACTTGCAGAATGGGAGAAAATTTTGTAATCTACCCATCTGACAAAGGTCTAATATCCAGAATCTACAAGGAACTTAAATTTTGAAGAAAAAAAACATCAAAAAGTGGGCAAAGGATATGAACAGACACTTCTCAAAAGAAGACATTATGCCAACAAAAATGAAAAAAAAGCTCATCGTCACTGGACACTAGAGAAATACAAATCAAAACCGCAATGAGATACCATCTCACGCCAGTCAGAATAGCGATTATAAAAAAGTCAGGAAACAATAGATGCTGGGGAGGCTGTGGAGAAATAGGAATGCTTTAATACTGTTGGAGGGAGTGTAAATCAGTTCAATCATTGTGGAAGACAGTGTAGCGATTCCTCAAGGGTCTAGAACCAAAATACCATTTGACGCATGCACATGTATGTTTATTGCAGCAGTATTAAGAATAGCAAAGACTTAGAACCAACCCAAATGCTTATCAATGATAGACTGGATAAAGAAACATGGCACATATACACCATGGAATACTATGCAGCCATAAAAGGAATGAGATCATGTCCTTTGCAGGGACACGGATGAAACTGGAAGCCATTATCCTCAGCAAACTAACACCGTCACAGAAAACCAAACACTGAATGTTCTCACTCATAGGTGGGAGTTGAACAATGAGAACGCATGGACACAGGGAGAGGAACAACACACACTGGGGCCTGTCAGGTGGTAGGGGCCATGAGGAGGGAGAGCATTAAGACAAATATCTAATGCATGTGGGGCTTAAAACCTAGATGATGGGTTGATAGGTGCAGCAAACCACCATGGCACATATATACCTATGTAACAGACAGGCACATTCTGCACATATATCCCGGAACTTAAAGTAAAATTTATAACAATGAAAGAAAGAAAAAAAAAAAAAAAAGAAAATGCCGTCCGCGCATATCTCTTAGGAGCATAGGAAGTGTTGTGAACCAAAAAGCCAGGGCGTGGTATCCCCGCCCACCTGCCTCTACATCACCACCCCTCTCGCCGCTTTCAAGCGCGGAGATTGGCTGTAAGCAAGAAAGAGCCCCGCCCCTAGTCTTATGACTCCCGCTGAAGCGCCGATTACTGGTTTTTGCAACGCTGTGGTCGGTGGTCACCCGTGCTCTTGACCCAGGTCTAGCGAGCCTTTTCCCTGGTGTTGCAGCCCTTGTTGTACCTCCGCCGCCGCTTGCTCTGCGGAATCATGTTGTGCTTCCGCCTCTTCCCGGTTCCTGGCTCAGGGCTTGTTCTGGTCTGCCTAGTCCTGGGTGAGTTGTCGGGCCCTTCCGATTAGTCTGTGCGCTTGGGCCTGGGGCGCCAGTTCTACAACCTGAAAGACTGGTCCGAGGGTGAGGGGGTTGAGAGGCTCAGCAGCAGACACTTGGCGGCGGCGGTTGGCCCGGGCAGGCGAGGAATGACCTAGAGAAGGCCTGACCGAGGGATGGCGGGGAAGAAGGGCCCAGGAGAGTAAGAAGGGGCCGGTAACGGGGGTGGACGCCGAGGGAGTAGGCTGGGAGGAGTGACGCGTGGAGAGGGTCGGGGTGGAAAGAGTAACTTGGGGAAAACACTGAGGAGTGAGCGTAGGAGGGTGGTACATGCAGATTTTGGGTGCCAGAGACAATTAGGAGAGTCCTGGTTTGTTGAGACCACGGAAGAGTTTTGAAGATGGTGGAAAAACTATGGGGTGAGATAGGAAATTAAGAGGGGAGACCATGCCTGCCAGGAGTAGCTTGGTGGAAGAATGTGGGTTGGGGCAGATAGGACACTAGAGCCTGAGGGGCAGGGGCAGGGACAGGGTTGGGCATTTTGTAGGTAGGAATTTGAGGCTGTGAAGAAAGGGTGATCAAGAGATGAGGAGTGATACTGGGTTTGAGTTTGGCAGTCACAGTTGTTGAGGGGGAAGGAACCTAAGGTATCTGGGGAGATTTCCAGGAAAGAAAATTTGGACTCAACCTCTGGGGACTAAGGGGTTCAGTGGAACTTTGATGGGAGTGCATATCTACTTGGAGGTATTGAGGATGTCGATTTTCTCCCAGTTTTGCTACTTCCTCCCAGCCAGGCACTGACAAAAAATCCCCAGACGTTTCAGTTGGGAGGGCCTCCCACATGTGAGGTTTTGCGGGTGGAGTATCTGAGTTTGGTAGACTACCTCTTTGCCTTCAGAGTCTCTTGTTTTTTCATCATCACACAACTAGCCTATTACCTCATTTTTGGGGGGTACAGGGAGCAGTTAGAAAAATTGCTAAGGATTGAGTTGTTACCAGGGCCTAAGAATGGCTGGATGGGACTCATTGCAGTGGCTCGAACCTGTAATCCCAGCACTTTGGGAGGCTGAGGTTGATGGATCACCTGAGGTCAGGAGTTCGAGAAAAATACAAAATATTTTTCTCTACTAAAAATACAAAATAGCTGAGTGTGGTGGTGGGTGCCTGTAATCCCAGCTACTTGGGAGGCTGAGGCAGGAGAATGGCTTGAACCCAGGAAACAGAGGTTACAGCGAGCCGAGATCGTGCCATTACACTCCGGCCTGGGTGACAAGAGTGAAACTCTCTCTCAAAATAATAATAATAATAATAAAAGAATGGCTGGATGACTGTTTGCTGATTGTGTTGTACCTTAATAGATAATGGATCCCTAACAGCTTTCATTGCCTAAAGCTGAACTTTGACCAGAGTGTCTCTTCCTGACCTGATTCATGCTGTGCTTGTTGCTACCCACCTGCTCTTGCTATTTCTGACCTAATTAAATAACATAAGGAGCAGACCCAGATGAGAGTGGGGAGGAAATAGACCTATTAAGGGTCTGAGAAAGCAGTGAGAGATATACATTTTGTAATTCACATTTCAGTAGAATAAAATCAACACCCTGGAATAGTGATTCTCAACCAGGGGACATTTGGCAGTATCTGGAAACATTTTTGGTTGTCACAACTGGGGGATTGCCTTTAGCATCTAGTGGGTAGAGGCCAAGGATGCTGCTAAACATCCTAACCAAGCACAGGGCAGGCCCTCACAACAAAGAATTATCTTCCTGAAAATGTCAGTGGTGCCAAGGTTGAGAAGCCCTGCTCAAAAACCATGGTATTGAAAGAGTTCCTGATTATCTAAGTCACTGACTCGCAAGGACTTTTTATAGGTCTGTGAAATCAAAACTTCAGAATAATGTTAAGAAGGTATTTGTCCTTTTTGGCTGGGTACAGTGGCTCACGCCTGTAATACCAGCACTTTGGGAGGCCAAGGCTGGCAGATCACCTGAGGTCAGGAGTTCAAGACTAGCCTGACCAACATGGTGACACCCAGTCTGTACTAAATATACAAAAATTATATGGGTGTGGTGGCACATACCTGTAATCCCAGCTACTTGGGAGGCTGAGGCAGGAGAATCTCTTGAACCCGGGAGGCAGAGGTTGCAGTGAGCCTAGATCACACCACTGCACTCCAGCTTGGGTAACAAGAGTGAAAGTCCGTCTCAAAAAGGAAAAAAAAAGACGGTATTTGTCCTTTTCACTCTTATCCTCTCACCAGTGTACAGCAGTTTTCCAGAAGCTACACAACCTGTGATGTCCTCACCACTCTGACGTTCTTGCATTTTATTCATTTCTCAGTTTTAATTTCTAATACTGTAATACCAATACATATGACTCACTTAAACCTCCATGAGGTCCTCAGTGGATAAGAAAGTAAGAGGGTCCTGACACCAAAATATTTGGGAATCCCTGATGTACTCCAACGGTTCACATGGTGCAGGAAAGTCTTCTGTACCACTTCTGAAAGGGGGCCATGAGGCTTTGCTTGAATACTTAATTCTAAGCCTTACTGTATCTTGGAGCACTTACTGAGGGCAGACTGACCCTAAGAAAGGATTGTTTACAATGGAAAGTACCTTATCAGTGACTAGAACACATCTGACCAAGGCATCTGTTAATCAGTAGTTCCCTGCCAATTGAATCTGTGCACAAATACAACACTGTTATTGTTTAGAGAAAGTGAAAAAAATAATAGTTGTCCTACTTGTTGGCTTTCATATCATTAAATTTTTTTTTAATGAAAGCTTTTTTTGTTTTGTTTTTAGAAAAGCAATGCTTACTCATTGCAGAAAATAAACATGCAAAAAGAAGCACATTAAAAAATCAGCTCATCTGCTAGTTTGTCATTTATTGATCAGGACTAACTAGATTTATCCTCTTAGAAAATTTCCAAGGTTGATTCCCTCCTCCTTCAAGTTCAGAGCAGGATTTGGAGGAATAAAAGTTAATAATGTACCTAGATCTGATTTTTAAGAGGTTCTAGGATGAAATAGAAACCACTTTTCTATACAGCTGCTTTTTTCTGATAGCTCTTGGTTCAGTGTGGAGCCCAAAGTCCTCCCGTATAGCTTCTTCTCTCAAAAATTTAGCAGTTGCTTGGTGGGTTTTATGCAAGTTACTTTTCTATAACAGAATGGATACCAAGGACAGGTTTTTGAAAACTCAGTGAATATTTGTAAAGTACCTACTATGTAGCTAGAACTGTGCCTGGGTACTGTAGAGGGCGACAGTGAAGGAGGATTGGTCCTGAATTTATAGTCTTATTAGCACTAGTGCTCTAGCTGTGCCAGTTTGATTTCGTAACTTATAATTCTATCCCAGCTTTACCTGTAACCTTTTAAAAACAGCAGCTTTAGAGTAAGTACAGAAAAGGGTTCTTAGAGGCTATATATTGGTCTTTGTCATAGAGATTAAATTATGCTGGTGTTTATTTGGATGAATTGTCACTGACCAGCCAAGTTTCTGAAGAAAAGCTGTATGATTTAAAGGTGTTACAAAGTAGATAGTAAGTGAAAATCCTTTCTTTATATAATTGCCTAATTATGGTCCTTTTGTGACATCATAGATTTCAGGATTCTTCTGTGGTTATTGATTCTTGTAATTGCTTGACTTCTGTTTGTTGTTGTTGTTTGTTGTTAGGGTTCAGAATTTTTTTAGGTTTGAGTATTTTCTGGGTGGGAAAAGCATCACAGAATTATTCTAGTATATGTCACTGGTAGGAGCCTCTCCCTTCCACATGTGTTTTACTGAATGCCTATTGTGTCCCAGCCACTATACTAGGTGAAAGGGACAGAGCAATGGATAAGACAGATGAGGTCCCTGCTCTCATGGAGCTTACATTTTAGTGGGAGAAGAAAGCTCAACAGTTAAATAATATAATCTCAGATAGTGATAAACACTATGAAGAGACTGGGCATGGTGGCTCATGTAATCCCAGCACTTTGGGAGGTCAAGGCAGGCAGATCTCCTGAGGTCAGGAGATCATTGTGAAAGAATTCTGGAGGCCTGCGAAACACTGCTCAACAATTAGTATTTTCCATTAGTTGAGTAGTGTTTAATCTTGTTTCCTTACCCACTCTCTGACCTTAAAGAATCTCCTGAGGTCAGGAGATCAGCCTAGTCAGCCTGGTGAAACCCCGTCTCTACTAAAAATACAAAAATTAGCTGGATGTCATGGTGGGCACGTGTAGTCCCAGCTGCTTGGGAGGCTGAGGCAGGAGAATTGCTTGAATCCAGGAGGTGGAGGTTGCAGTGAGCCAAGATCATGCCACTGTACTCCAGCCTGGGGGACAAGAGCAAAACACTGTCACAAAACAAAACAAAATCGCTATGAAGAAAATTATGCAGATAATGAGAAAGGAGAATGAATAGATGATAGGAATGGGTGATGGGGGATGATCCTTCTTTATAGTATGTGGTCAGAGGGCCTTCCATTATTGGGTGACATTTGGGCAGAGACCTGGGTGTGGCAGGAGACCAGCTATGTGACCATCTGGGGAAATAGGAATAAATCTTAACATTTGCAGAATCTTAGGTCACTAACCTATTTTCCACTCTTTTTTTTTCCTCCTGATTTTAGTCAAGACTCTCCTATGGTAGCAGTCTCTAAGAGCAGCAGCTATCTTATGTACTGTTATTTCCCATTGACTACCTAGTATAGGGCCTGGTACGTTGTCAACCATTAGTAATTTTTGTTGAGGATATTCATTGGTGGGCACTAGGGATATGGTGGTAAACTAGACTAATTTAGTCTCCTTTTTCTTCCATGAATTTTAAATGATGTTTTGCAAGAAGTTCTTTTGGATTGAAACCTTCAATATCAGTGCGAAGTAGTACATATAATTATGAAGTAATTTACTAAAGTATAATCTCATATAATAATGCTAGTCTCTTACCTGTACTCCTTCAGATATACCTCCATAGTCTTGAAGGGGGTGATACCGAGAATTAGGAGGTCCTTGG